TAGAAAAGATACCCACTCACCAAATAATTATAGCTAGTGCCGTTGAAGACTCGTCAAGCCAATGAGGCATCAAATTGCTGCCTTAACCATCACCGAATGATTTTAAGGGAGCAAGCATCTATAGACTAGTTTTAGATTCCATAAACCTTTCATTTTCCACATATCATTGCTATTATATTATGCACTGTTTTATTAAAGGGAACAGGGTTCTTGGAGCACCCATATATCACCCTTCCAAATTTGCCCTCGATTCCTTGCCACAACACACTTGTTCTAGGTCAGCAAAGTAATGACAAAACAATCATGCTAGTTACTTACAATTTTTTCACATGAAAAAGTTTAAATTGACTAGAGAGAGAAGTCTTGAAGGGTAAGTGAGTGAAACAAGTGATTTTGTTTTAGTTGGAATTTTGCTGTGATGGTTTTTGAAAATATAAATTTTACAGCACAAAAATTTGTGTTCCATATTTTTCTTGAAGAATGATTTACAATTATGTCATTGATTTAATAATTGAAACACACCAAAGCGAATCTCGAACTCACCCAGAGCAAATTTCTTTCTCTCCCTCCTTTATTTTCTCATTACATTTTTTCAGCTTAAGGGGTTGTTTGGAATGTTCTAAATAAGTGTACTTTTTGACTTTTTATGAAATATAGGTTGGATTTGAAGTGATGTGGTAAAGAGGTGATGTGACTTAAATAAGATGATGTGATTTAAATAGCAAAGTGACTTTTTGACTTTTTATGAAATATAAGTTGGATTTGACGTGATGTGATATAGAGGTGATGTGACTTAGGGGTTGTTTGGGATAAACTAAATAAGTGCACTTTTTGACTTTTTATGAAATATAGGTTGAGCATGGGCTGGGTTTGAAGTGATGTGGTAGAGAAATGGTGTGACTTAAATAAATGATATGACTTAAATAGGATAGTGACTTTTTAACTTTTTTTTATTATGCCAAACTAAACCTTAAATAAGATGATATGATTTAAATAGGATAATGACTTTTTAACTTTTTCTGAATGTGCTAAATTTATCCTAAGTTAATAAAATTTCTTTTTGATGCTCAGAAAAAAAGAAAGAAAAAAAAGATTGATTGAATAATCATTGTCAAAGGATTTTATCATATTTATTTTTTAAAATAAATAAACAGCTTATTTCAAAATTATACTTAGTTTATTTTTAAAAAGAAATATGATAAAATTATATGACTATAATAAGAGTGAAGTATCAATAAATTTTAAAATGTGATCTTATGAATAGTTTAATCCTCTATTTTTTTTTTTCTTATGAACCCAAAGGATCCATTAAAGTAAAAATTACTACATAAAATGGAAGTCACTTTCATGTTGGATTTCATGTTTGATTTTAATATTTTAGGGAAAAAAGTGGTTTTCTCAAAATGTAAAATTATACATTTTGGGAATTTTCACTATAAAAGTTTTAGATCTTCCCTTATTTTAGAACAAATCCCGCGTTACGAACAAAAACCTAATACTTTAATGTAACACTCCAATAATGTAACACTTCAATGTAGCACACTAAAAAACTTATTGGTGTACTTTTCCCAAATGTAATGTAACACTAAAAAAAAACTATTTGGTGTACTTTTCTCAAACGTAACGCTCCAATATAACAAAAAAAAAAAAAAAAATTTCCTTAGTATACTTTTTTCAAACATAACACTCACAGTTTAAAATTATACACTTGTTTAAAACTAAAGAATATTTGTACTTCTTTTGGAATGATTTGAAGAATTTCACATTCTTTTTTTTTTAGAGTTATATTGGAGTGTTACGTTTAGAAAAAGTAAACTAAGATTTTTTTTTGATTTTATATTGGAGCGTTACGTTTAGGAAAAATACACCAAAGAATTTTTTTGTGTGTTACATTAAAATATTAAGCCAAAGAATTTTTTTAGAGTATTATATTGAAATGGTACGTTTAGAAAAGGTATGCTAAAGAATTTTTTTGTATGTTACATTAGAATGTTACACTGAGGAATTTTTGTGTGTTATATTAGAGTGTTACACTAAGAAATTTTGTGTGTGTTGCATTAGAGTGTTACACTAAAGAGTTTTTGTGTGTGTCTTACATTAGAGTATTACATTAAGGAGTTTTTTTGGAGTGTTATATTAGAGTGTTACATTTGAGAAAAATACACTAAGGAGTTTTTGTGTGTTACACTAAAGAATTTTTTTGTGTGTTACTTAGAGTTACAAAAGAGTTTTTTTAGAGTGTTGCGTTTAGAAAAAGTACAATAAATTTTTTTTTTATTTGTTACATTAGGGTATTACACTAAATTTATTTTTTTTAGTGCTACATTAGAGTGTTACGTTTGCGTGTTACATTGGAGTATTACAGTTTGAAATTATACATTTGGCCAAAACTTACCAAGTAATTTTTGTACTTCTTTTGAAATATTTAAAAAATCCCACATTCTTTTGAAATGTTTGAATAATCTCATATTTTAAGTCATTTTTATATTCATTATATAAAAATTCATTTCAAATTTGATTCTCATATATTATTGTACCTATCTTTCTAGGACAAAAGAAAAAAAAAAAGAAGAAAAAAGAATGAACATAATAGAAATAAAGGTATAACTGTAAATCTAATTTTCAAACCAAAATCAATAAGGCTAATTGGTTTATAAAAAAATCATTAGGACTAAATGAATTACCATTCCTCAAGATAGGATTTATAGGTAAATTTTTCCTATAATAATTAGATCAATTTAAATTTTTTTTTTAAATAAATGATCTACAAATTTGATCTTACAGTATAAATGACTGAGATTATTAAAGAAAAAATATATAAACATCAGAATTTTTGATCACCTAAATATTTACTCACATCAATGATTTTCCCAACAGAAAGCTTCAATAATCATAACCGAACTGATTATTAAAATGACACTTGTAGTCAACCTTCTAAAACTAACTATTGATATATTTTGTACATTAAATTATTCGTTAATGAAGTTTTTTTTGCTGATAAAAAAAACCCTTCTAAAACTATTGAACTTCCTCTTCTAAAGCTTAAGAGAAATCAGATCCAAAAAGATTATGCAATAATGCAAAGATTAGAAATTTATTACCGTTAGAATAGAAGATAGGAATGGAAATCAATGAAAATAGATTTCCGTTTAAAGATAGATAGGAATGGAAATCAATGGAAAATAGAACTAGGAGGGAATTTCAATTCCTCCAAAGACAAGAAGGGCCAAAAGGTTAGGTCGGAATCAGATAGATGAATGATGGATGGATGGATGGATGGATCTGTCGACATGTTGATTCTTTCATGCCATGTCATCGTGTATATATATATGTGTGTGCGCAAATATATGCACTGTCAAGATTGCAGACATATTGGTACCAATTTAATTGTGATTGATATATTTCGCTGTTGATATTTTTTGTATTCATTTTTTTTTTTTGTTTATTTGATTTTGATGGAATGAGTTTTTGTTCATCAATAAATATTTTACTTTGTTAATATATATATGTATATATATATGCACCGTCAGGGAGGCATATGATCCGTAACCTAATGCCTACAAATGTAGAAAAGTCATAATTCATAACTCGCAACTCACAAGCAACCCAAAACTTTGTGTTGTTGTGAATGCTCAGTGCCTTGCGTGGGGGGCGTCTCTACTGCTAGTAACCATCTTATCACTGTCAGCTACTACCCTACAACCCTATAACCTCTCTCTCTCTCTCTCTCTCTCCTTCTTCTATTTGTCTCTCTTACACACTCATTCACTCTTTCACCCAAAACTTGTTATCATTCCACTTATCAAATTTTGGGATGTACTGATTAATACTGGACAATTGGTAGAGCTGGTTTAATCACTCAATCCACACTCTCTCCCCCAATCTCTCTCTCTCTCTCTCTCATACCCAATTGTTTTTTTTTCCATTGAATGTCAAGTTTGGGATATATCAACTTTTGGCATTTGCTGATTAATACTGACGAATACTGGGTAATGAGGAGAGCTGGTTCTTATGGCTGCTGTGGCCTGTTCTAATTGGTTTTTATGGTTGCTGCTCTGTTCTGTCATTGGGCTGAGTTTGCGAGCTTCTATTCTGTTCTATTGGCTGTAAGTGATATGTTCTTATGGATGCTATGGTCTGTTCTGATCTGGTCTAACTGTTGCTGGTGTATCGATCTGAGTGTGAAAGCTGAACAAAAACAAGAGACAAAAGAGGAAAAATTAATCAACAGTCTTTCGAAAACCCACAAGACAAGAGGGAGATATCCCTTTTAAGTTGTAGGAGAATAGGGCTGGCTTTGAGATGGAATTAATGGTCCCATAGGGGGCAAGGAAGCTCTATTTGAGAACTTCGATGGTTTTGTTGGGGAGACATAAGGCAGAAATTATGGTAACAAATGGTGCAATCTCAAAGACAGCCAATAGTTTTATTGTCCAGAAAACAAGAACCCTCATGCATCTACATACACACACCCCCTCTTTTCTTGAAAACACCCAAAACAGCGAAGGAGACAAAGGAATTTTAGGAAACCATAATGGCACCTGCAAAGACATAGGCATCCTCAATATTTTATTAACAGTAATGTTAGGATCAAGAAGAAAAAGAAAATACTCAAAAAACATTAGTGTGTGGCTTATATTCAATTTTTGTATCTGAATTCTTAATTTTTAAAATTACAGTTTTATTAATCATATTTTATTGAGTACACTAATGAAAACAACAAGATAAGAGTTCAAGAATAAAAGTTGTAAAGTATTAAAAAGAAAGTGAAGCATCATTAGCATTAAAGAACACAAATAATGAAAATACCCAACCCACCAATACAAAATGACAAACACCCCTCTAGAAGATGGTGGTTAACACTTCAAATGGAATATATTAAATGATGAAATGCTCCACATAGCAATTGTTGGCCCCTAAAAGAGGATTTGGTTATAGAATCTTATCTTAAATAATATAAAATAAAATAAACAAGAGATTATACATATAAAGAAATCTAAATCTAAATCTATATATATTAGTAACCCAACTAGCAGTATAAAAATAAAGCATTCATTCACATTCAACTCCCCAAGAAAAACCTGACTGTGTGTAGGTCGATGGAAGAAGCCAAGATGGTGTTGGGTTTGGGTTGGGAGAGAGGCTAGTTTGAGGTGCATGCAATTGCAACGTGCTGATTCACAATGTACATGCAAAATTAGGGTTAGGGTTTTTTAGATATGAGAGCAAAGATTGGACTTATTATTAGATATAGATATAGTTATAGATATATGTAAAGAAAGATTATACATTATTAGCTAGCGCCATGAAGAAACTGAGAAAAGAAGTTGATTCTGCCAACCTAAGAAGAAAGAATCATTGAGAGTGTGAAGTTGGTAACCCTCTGAAGGATAATGGAGCCTCAATAGAAGCTTGGCTTGCGAGAGAGCGAAAGGGCTAAGTGGGACATTGTTAAACCCTGAGCTTCTCAACATCACTTCCCAAGATCGAAACCTCTCGTGTCGCTGTCTCCGGCGATCTCCCTCGGCCGCTACGATATCCTCGATTTCTCTCCCGAACCAAACCCGCTCCACCACCAGCCTCTCGCGGCTGTTGGGCGGCAGGGTCGCCTCCAGAGAATCGAACAGGGCGGTGTAGTGGTCCACCGCCTCGATGAAGCGGTTCATGAAGAGCGGGTGGTTGTGATTGGCTTCTTTTTCCGCGACCGTCACGACTCGGGGATTCATGGCTTTGATTCGCTGGAGAAAGAGGCGAAGCTTGTCGCGGTCCTTGAGGAGGCGGTGGAGATAGAGGACGCAGTTCACTGCTAGGGTTTCGTCGGGGAGGAGGAGGACTGCGGCGGCGACGGAGGTGGGGTCGTCGGTGTTGAAGAGGAGGAGAGGGTGGAATTGGAACCGGAGGCCGAGGGAGTGAGCGAATTTCGAGAGGCGGTCTCCGGTTCTCCGAAGCATTTCCAAATCCTGTCCGGTTCCGGTGATTCGAAGCGATGGCAGAGGGAATCGCTCTGCGATCGCTTGCATCAACGGAGGCCACTGAACTCCGTGCATTATATCGAAATCAAGAATGTGTATTGCTGCTTGTCCATCAATGGCTTCTAAAATCGCTTGATTTGCAGTTAAATGACTGAATCTGATAAATGGAGTTACTTGGTTGAGAGTTAAATATGAGGACTGAACAACCGCTTCGTCGGACTCCGAATCGGGTACATTAACAGCACTGCTACTAGCTCTAGCTGCTGTAGTGGCCGTGGCGGTGTAGCGACTGAGGCGGAGGGAGAGTGATTTGGTGAATTGGTGGACTAATCGTTCAGTGGAATCACCGAAAGGGGAAGAGTTGGCTGATAAAATGGTGATGAGGCGGTGAGCGGCGGCGAGATCTGACCCTGAGATTAGCTCGGCGCAGCTTATGAGTAATTGGCGCATGTGTATTGCTGGGGAGGTGAAGCCCTGTGGTGGAATCTGCTGGTGCTGGGGGAATAAGTGCGCATCTGATGGAGTTGGAGTTGGAGTTGGGTGGTCTTCTTCCTCACGGGAAGAAGAACCAAATGACCCCAACATCTCTTTCTCACTTACCAAATGGAAACCCTAAAGAGAGAAAGGGACAGTATATGTATATGTATATGTAAAATGAGAATGAAGGAGAGAGAGGGAGCAGTGTGAAAATGAATATATAGAGAGAGGAAGATGGGGAAGAAGAGAGGAGTGGGGCAAGTTGTGCATTGGTTTTGAGCTTTTTACATTTAGAAACAAGTAATTAATGCAAACATATGATATGATGATGATGATTCAGGAGGGGGGGTACTAGTAGTATCTAATCTAGGGCAGAACATTATCTCTGCAAGAGTGAGAGACAGGGAAAGGAAGGGAATGGAATGGAAGAGAAGAGCTCACTCACTCACTCACACTGATACTAGTAGTTTGTAACAGCAACAGTATTCCCCCCCCTTTCTCTACAAATACAACCCTCCTCTGTAAATAAGAAACATACATGTATACATATACTTGTACATACATATAGACTTCCCTCCCACACCACATACATATACATATACATACATATATATATGTGTGTTTGAGAGAGATTTGCAACAGGCTTTGCAAACCAGTAGTGAAGGGGTTTGAGAGGCAGAAATGTAAGTGTCACTGGTTAATAAAATATTATGAATGAAATTAAATATACATTTTTTATATTGCACTAATTTAATCATGTAATCACTGTCATAATATAATTTTTTTTCATTGGAATTTTTATTTGAGGGTGTTTGTAGTTTCGTAAAGACTAATTAGAAGGTATATATAATTTTTAAATTTTACATATATCAAATAATTATTAGGTCTTGTTAAAGTGTCCTTAAAACAAGCATTAACTCACCTTTTCAAATTTAGGGTTGTTATGAAAAATATGTTAAAAGTTAGTTTTTAATTTTTTTTTAATTTTTTTTAATGTGTAAAAAAAAATAAAGATATAATATAACCTAAAAGAGATTAAAAATTAAAAAATTAACTTTTAACTTCTTACCAAAAGAGATCTTAAACTCGTAACTTTTTCACATGAAAGTCACACATCCTGACCAACTAATCCCAATTGGTTTGCATCACCTCTACATGTAGATAATCATAATTGATTCTTTATTTGAAAATAGTCATCAACAGAAAATGAAATTGGCTTCGTTTGGGAACTTACTATTTTAGTAATTTTTTGATTTTTTACAAAAAGATGTGCAGAAAAGTAGAGAGGTGATGTGATTAGTTTTAGTTGATTTTTTGACTTTTTGGCTAAAATAGCCACTCCCCAAACGAGGATATGTTATGTTGTTAGAGTTCAGTACACTGAAAATTTGTGAAGCTCCAGTTCAGGTAAAGCTAAAGTCAAACTTAAAGAATTAAGCTCCAGCTTCGTATGTCAAGTATTTACAGAAAATCTCATTTGTCAATTATATATTTTAATTAAAAAATTATTATAAATAGTCACATCACTCTCTTTATTTTTTTACATATTTTTTTCATAAAAAGTCAAAAAATAACTAAAATAACATATTCCCAAACAAGACCTAAGTCAAGATCAAGCTTATTAAAAAAAAAAAAGGTCAAACTTATTAAAAATTTAATTTAAGTTAAATTGGCATACTCCTTCTTTAGTAAATAAAACAAACTTAAACGAATTTTAAATATGCTAAGGCCAAGTTTGGGAACACCCTAAAAAGCCAAAAAGCCAAAAAGTTACTCAAAAAGTTAAAAAGTTATCACTATTCACCAAAAGTCAACAATTACGGCTGCACAACTCCCAATTCTAATTTTCTCCTACAAATCAATTTTTACAATTTTTTATTACACATTTTTCCATAAAAAGTCAAAAAGTTAACCCAAACATTCATATTTTCAACCTCAACTTTTTAGTACACTGAAAATTTGTGAAGCTCCAGTTCAAGTAGAGCTAAAGTCAAACTTAAAGAATTAAGCTCCAGCTTCGTATGTCAAGTATTTATAGAAAATCTCATTTGTCAATTATATATTTTAGTTAAAAAGTTATTATAAATGGTCACATCACTCTCTCTATTTTTTTTACATATTTTTTTCATAAAAAGTCAAAAAGTAATTAAAGTAACATATTTCCAAACAAGACCTAAGTCAAGATCAAGCTTATTAAAAAAAAAAAAAAAGGTCAAACTAATTAAAAATTTAATTTAATTTAAATTGGCATACTCGTTCTTTAGTAAATAAAACAAACTTAAACGAATTTTAAATGTGCTAAGTTGAAGTAATTTATGTATTATTTTCAGCCATATCAACATAATGTCTATAAAAGATATCGTTTGGTTTAACTATGATATTTTATACATTTGCCACCCTTTATTGATGTTTTCTCTTTGTATGATTTCATTGATTCATCAATAAAAAATTTCGCAGATCAAAAAATATATCTTTTAACATATATACAATTGATATTTGTCTGACTTATGCTTTTAAGGAATCAAATTGTCAATCCATAATCTAATATTAAGTTTCTATAGCAGCCACCAAATGAGGTCTTTAGAACACCTGCTATAATAGTTTTTAAATATATAGTAAACAGTATTTCAATTGGGAAATTAGTTGTACAACTGAATTTCTAAATTTTCACTGTTGAAATATTCAAAGATACAAGAGAAACAAATTAATACAGCTAATATTTTTGAAACTGTCATTAGGTAAACTGTTACAAGATACTCTTGTCACCTGAGAAACTTGAGTAGGTGATCTATTCACATATTGAAAGTATGAGAAGCCCAAAAAACTTGGGGAAACCAGTACTTGCATATATGTATATATTTATCTATCAACTTAATTAAGGTTTAACTTACTATGATAATTGAGTTAGTGAAGCACTTTTCTTTGGTTGCAATATATGTGATAGATAGTGTTTTATACAAAATCCATTAAAAAAAGAGAGAGAATATGCTCAAAGGGAGAAGCAAATTTATGAAGTTATTAAAGAACTGCCGACTTGGGGATATAAAGAGGAGTAGAGGACAACAACATTTAACAACCTCAAGAAAAAAAAGATTCCAATCTAACTTTTTAAGGACAATCAAAGATTGAATGAAGATAATAAATTCTATTACACATTAATATATATATATATATATTCAAATATACATATAATTATATAAAATATATATACGGATCTTAGGTTCACTGTCACATCTTTCATAATTAAATAGATTTGAGAATAACTATTCTCAAGATATGTTACTATAAATCATTCGTTTTACTGGTCCATTTGCAAGGGGAGGTGGGTTTTCGTATCTGCAACAGGATTTTTTTTAATTGATAGGAGATAAAAATACAGGGTAAATTTCAAACACACTCCTGAAATTTATTTAAATTACAAATTATTTCTATAGTTCTAGAAATTATATTATGCCCCCTAAGATTTCTAATTTCATAACAAATAGGTCCTTTTATTAATAAATTATCAAGTTAATTAAGAGTTTTTAATAATGTTAAAATTTTATTTCAATTAATAATTCAGGTAATTTTATTATTGTATAAGTAAAACAGTAAGAAATTTTACTTTTTCAATTAATCCTGTTAAATAAAAAATTCTGACAGGGAGGTATTTGTAATTGTTCAAATCACAGGAGACAATTCTTATTTTAAGCAAATCTCAGATGATGTATTTGTATTTATCCAAAATAATATTAAATAATATATATATAGTTAAAGAAGAAATGTTATATGTCTGAAAAAATACCAAATATATATATGTTACGAATTTTAATGTATGGTGTAAATGATTTAAATTTAGTGTGGTGTGAGTTATACCTAATATAAATTCGATCCATCTATTTTAAATTCTTGACATTTTTTTTAATATTTTCTTTTTTTGAATACATGACAATTATCTTATATTAAACATTCAACTATATATGAAAGTCAGTTAAAGAAAAAGAACTTAATTGTTTATGAAAAATGATTCATCTATATAATTTCTTCTCCCAACAATCTCCCTAATGAGGTATCAAGTAAAATTTGAAAAGTCAGACTCACATTTAAATATTTTTTCAAAATTCTTTTTATATGTATTTTGTCTTGTCACCTTATTAAAGGGATTGTGAAAAAAAAGAAATTACATAGTGGTAACAATATTGATTATTTATATCAACCATTAATTAACACGTGCCCACATAGGCAGACAATAATGAAGTTCAAATATAGAATTTATTGTCTGTTTTGATATTATACAATATTATATTAAATGAATAATATTATATGTATTAATTATTATACCATTATTATGATGTAGTATACTTTTACGTTGTATTTGGAAAGGGATTTAGAAAGGAAAATGAAAAAGGTATGTGAAATTAGGTGAAATGTAAGTATATGTTATTCACATCTCACCTCAACAATCCAGTAGCCAACAGATTGTTTTAGCCAGCAGAGCATTAGCAAACAAACCAGTAGTAAGCAAACCAGTAGCACCGGCACAGCAGCGTTAAAATCTTGTTACATACCAGCAGGGCAACCAGCAAACCAATGCTGCAATGTTGTTAAACATTCAACTATATATGAAAGTCGGTTAAAGAAAAAGAACTTAATTGTTTATGAAAAATGATTCATACATATAATTTCTTCACCCAATAATCTCCCTAACGACGTATCAAGCAAAATTTGAAAAGTCGACTAACATTTAAATATTTTTTCAAAACTCTCTTTATATGTATTTTGCCTTATCACCTTATTAAATGGATTGTGAAAAAAAAGAAATTACGTAGTGGTAACAATATTGATTATTTATATCAACCATTAATTAACACGTGCCCTCATAGGCAGACAATAATGAAGTTTAAATATAGAATTTATTGTCTGTTTTGATATTATACAATATTATATTAAATGAAAAATATTATATGTATCAATTATTATATAATTAAGATGATGTAGTATACTTTTAGGTTGTATTTAGAAAGGGATTTAGAAAGAGAAATGAAAAAAGTATGTGAAATTAGGTGAAATGTAAGTATATTTTATTCACATCTCACCTCAATTTTCCTTTTTTCTTTCCAAATCTGTTATTAAATTTTTCAACCAAACACAACGTTAGAGATTTTTGTAATAGGTAGGATCATAATTTTAAAATAACAATATCATAACTATGTTGATATACTAATTAATATATGTAGTACAATTAATATTAAATTATTAATCATTAACTCATCGTAAATTCAAACAATTAAAGAGATATGCAACTGAATTAGGATAAGAATATTAGTAAGGGTTGGTTTGGGAAATGGATTGACTTTTTGATTTTTTGACTTTTTTAGTTATTTTAGCCTGGGCTAAAAAGTTTGGTTTGGGAAGGACTTTTCGATTTTTTTGACTTTTTTTATGAGAGAAGAGTGTAATGATTATAAATTAAATGTGATATTTTGTTTGTTATGATTAAAATAATTTTTTTTTATGACTAAAATAACCAAAAAAAAAAAAAAAAAAAAAAACCCCAACCTTTTCTTCCAAACGGAGCCTAAAAAGCAACCTTAAAAAAAAAATTTTTTTTTTTTCTTGGAAGGGTATCTAGTAGTTAGCGACTATCATATCAAATACTTAAGGCATAGTTTATTGGTCAGTTCATTCATTAGGGTCTCCTCTTTCAGTTTTAATTAAAAAATTGTTATAAATTATTACAATTTTTTTTATATATCATTTT